CTAGACCCTTCTTCAGAAGAAGGGTCTAGGCCCGAAACGTCAGCCTTCCTGCTCCTCTGATGCTGCTTGGCCCGCTGTGTTCATCCAGCTCTACACCTTGTTATCTCAGATTCTCCAGCATCTGCAGTTCCTACTATCTCTGCAATCAAGAGTTGATTTTAACATATTGAGATGCAAAGATGAAGAAGCACATCTAAGAAATTGGATTTCGCGTTTTAGAATGACAACAAAATTTAAGAAGAACAGTGACAAAGACAGCATAAAGTGGAGAAATGCTGAAGGCTGTGATGGAGAGATGGAAGTTTAAGGTGAGACAGGGACAGTCTCTGGAATAAAAAGAATGCACATCGTGTTGCAGTAGTACCAGACTGATTTAAATAAATTACTGCAGAAGATAAGATAGAAAGCAAAAGGTTTAGTAAAGTTTAAAATATACCAATAGTCCCTGCTTACTACTGAGGAAGCTGGCCTTTGTTCTTGCTTATATATTCCTGTTGTTCCTTCGCTTTCCTATCAAGCACTTCGGCAAGTGACTGCAGAGATTTGGAGCGTCGCACTGGCATTCTCCTTGCATTCTGAGCATTGTGCTTTACAAAATCAACATTAACACCTTTGACATGAATCTTGAAAAGAAAACAACAAGGAGATTGGTAACTGATAATTTACATTTTAAAAAATGCCAGAAAAGTGGACAATTGAAATCAGGAAATCTGAATTGAGACATCATTAGGTGCAAAAAGTAAAATGCTTGCATTTATACAATAACTTTCATGGCTTTATGATGCTTTAGACAATAAGTTGTTTTTTTTTTTTTTAAGTGCAATCACAAATTTGAAGGTGAATTTGGACCAAGTCTATCCTCACCTCTCTGCTGGCATCTTCCACTACTTCAGCACAACTCTCTGATTTTGGTGGACTTGGTGACAAGGATCTCTTTGGGCAAACACCTGACCCACATCTTGAGTGTGCTTTAAGATAATGTTGACTTTCAGAATGTTGGGGGGGTGAACTCTCCTAAGGACAAACAGCAAATGATTTGAAAAGAAAATGGAAAAGAAGCAAAATAGATCACGCTTCCTGTGTGTGCTTTGGAAAATCTAGCAATACATTACGAAGCTAATGCATCTGCAGTACAACGGACTCATTTTCATACATTTATATGCACAAAGTTCACACGTTAATTTCTCCTTCAGCACCATGAGCAACCCCATTGTCTTTTGCTCTTGGGACCATCACAACCTGTTCCACTTACTCCTCTTCTCCCTCTGTCAAGAGGAGAAAAACCATTATTTTCTAACCCCTTTCAGTTCTGAACAAAAGTCACATCAGACTTGAAACATTAACTCTCTCCATTGGTGCACCAGACCCAATGGGTTTTTCTGGCACCTTGTGTTTTATTTCAGATTTACAACATCCACAATATTTTCCTTACATTGTATAGTTCCTGCAACTGTATCTCATCCTGCAGGAAGTTAAGAGATGGGAGAGATGCAGCTCCATCCTTGTATGGAGGGAATTCAATTGGCTCCAAATAACAATTTCAATATTTAAAGTTCACTTTTGAAAAGTAAAATAAAATCTGTCAATCGAATGACCACATAATCTAAAAAGCAAAAAAAGCAGTGACACTGCTGTCCATTAGTCCCTTTATTCCGGATTTCAGAAAGTTGGAGGATTCTCCCCATGATGGCAGGAAAGGGATGAAGAAGCTTTCTTGCAGCCAGCAAAATTATTATTCAGGAAAAAAAGAATCAGCATACAAAAAATGTCTGTTCACAAATTTGGAAACAAAATGTTGTAAAACAGAAAAGTATGAAACATCAATGTGGTTTCAAAGATTTCACACAAATGTTAAAACTGCTTTCTAAACATGAATGAACATTCCTCACCACTTTCATGGCAAAATAAACTTATGAAGTATTTTGCAGTTTAGTCCAGAGTAATTTATTTGCTATTATTACTGGCATCTACCCAGCAATGTAGAAAGTTGTCCAGGAACATCCTGCACATAAAAAGCAGGACAAATCCAACAAAGCCAATTACTGCCCCATCAGTCTATCTCAATCATCAGTAAAGTGATGGAAGATGTCATCAACAGTGCTATCAAGCAGAATCTGCTCAGCAATAACCTGCTCAGTGATGCCTAGTTTGGGTTCCACCAGGGCCACTCAGCTCCTGACCTCATTACAGCCTTGGTTCAAACATGGACAAAAGGGCTGAATTCCAAAGATGAGGTGACAGTAATAGCATCAAGGCTGCATTTGACCACATGTGAAATCAAGGAGCCTGAGCAAAACTGAAATCAATGGATATCTGGGGGCAAACTCTCCACTCGTTGGTGTCATACATAGGAGGATGGTCGTGGTTGTTGGAGGTCAGAAATCTCAGCTCCAGGACATCTCTGCAGGAGTTCCTCAGTACCCTGAGGAACATGGTGTCTTAGGCCCAACTATCTTCAGCTCCTTCATCAATGACCTTCCCTTCATCATAAAGTCAGAAGTAGGGATGTTCGCTGATGATTGCACAATATTCAGCACCATTCATGACTCTTAAGATACTGAAGCAGTCCATGTTCAAATGCAACAAGATCTAGACAATATCCAGGCTTCGGCTGACAAGTGGCAATAACATTCAGGCCATGCAAATTCCAGGCTATGACCATCATCAATAACAGATAATCTAACCACTGTCCTTGTCCTTCAATGGTGTTACCATGACTGAATCCCCACAATCAACTAGATATGCCACATAAACACAGTGACTACAAGAGCAGGTACAGAGGCTAGGAATTATGTGGTGAGTAATTCACCTCCCGACTCCCCAAAGCCTGTCCGCCATCAACGAAGCACAAGTCAGGAGTGTGATGGAATACTACCCCCTTGCCTAGATAAAAGCAGTTTCAACAACACTCAAGAAGTTTGACACCATATAGGATAAAGCAGCCCACTTCATTGGCACTACATCCACAAGCATCCACTCCTTCCACCACTGATGCTCAATAGCAGCAGTGTGTACTATCTACAATATGTACTGTAGAAATTCAAAGATTCTCAGACAGCAACTTTCAAACTCACGACCACTTCAACCTCAAAGGACAAGGGCAGCACATACATGGGAACATTACCAGCTTCAAGTTCCCCTCTAAGCCACTCACCTTCCTGACTTGGAAATTTATCGCTGTTCCTTCACTGTTGCTGTGTCAAAATCTTGGAATTCCCTCCCTAATGGCATTATGGGTCAACCCACAGCAAGTGGACTGCAACGGTTGAAGAAGGCAGTTCACCACCACCTTCTCAAGGGCAACTCGGACGGCAATAAACGCTGACCAGCTAGCGATGCCCACATCCAACAAATGAATGAAAGTAAAATTAACAACCACACAAAAACAGACTATAAAACAGGTGCAGAATCCTAAGACATTGAAAATCTACAAATGTAACAAAAACACCAGAAGTCCTCAAGAGTCAGCCTGCATTTGTGAAGAACTGTGTCGGTCAAACAACTTTCCACCTCTTAGGATTATGAAAAGAGATCTTAAAATCTTGTCAACTTTTCAATCTCTGTTCATCAACGAATACAGCCTTATCTGCTCAGTATTTATAGATCTCCCTGACTTTGTTTTCCAAATAGGACTGTGTTGTCCTTCAAGTCTTATCTCCAACTGCAACTCTGTTTTGCCAAATTTCTCTACTGAACACACCAGGTTTTTTTTAACCTTACTCAAGGAGCTATTCCTCATAAGTGAATCATTATAGTGAGTCTATTTAACCACAGGAGTATTGCAACCAAGATGAGAGGCACCTTTGTAATTCTGACCGGGAATAATAAATGTTGCATACAGAAAACATGTTTTGTGCAAATTGGTCCGAACCGTCTTGTGCATTTGTCCTCAAGTCATTAGGAAACTCATCCCAATATTTTACTAACAGTGCAGTATTGTCTTCATGACGAGCTCAAGTCTACCTGTAACTGTGTCATCACTTTTGAAGGAATGGATTCATATTTCTGGGACTTCCAAAGCGCTTTAACAGGTTTGGGGCCACTCAGTTCTCGCTCTTGGTCCTTCTCCCTGCATTTCTTCTGTATCTCCCGCATGCGCCTCACATTCTCCTTTTCATGATCTTTCAGTTCTTTCTCTAAGGAGAAACGAGATTCCTGTGAATTGAAGTCCAAGAGTCCAGATTATCTAGCAAATGAGGAAAAAACCATCAGGAGGTCTACTGATTTTCATGAATCAAATTAACAAAGTCAGAAGTCACTCAACAACAGGTTTATTTGAAATCACAAACTTTCAGAGCGCTGCTCCTTCGTCAGGTGAAGTCACTTGGTTGGACTATAATCTGGTGTTGTGTGACTTCTGACTTTGTCCACCTCAGTCCAACACTGGCATCTCCACATCATCAAATTAACAAACCAGGCATTGAATTTTGACTGTTTTTCATGTGAGTTTTTGTAAATATTTTCATGTTAAGTGCTAGTGACCTTTCAGATAGAATTATGCAAACCATGAATTAGGAAGCCATTTGGTTCCAAGAGCCAGTTTCACCTTTCCTTAAGATCATGGCTGATTTCAGCAATGCCTCAACTCCAACTTCCTGTCGACCCCAAGACTCTTTGATTTCTTCTTTATTAATAATCTATCTACCTCAGTCTTAAAATTATTCAGTGACTCTGCCTTCACCACTCTCTAGAGAAGAGAATTCCACAGATTTACAACCCTCTGATGTAAAAAAATTCATCTCATCTGTCATACATTCGTGACTCCTTATTTTTAAACTGTGTCCCTTCGTTCTAGTCTCTCTTGCAGGTATCCTTTTAGTATCCACCCTGTCAAGTTCACTCAGGATTTCTCCTCATTCTTCTAAACTCCAGTGGACAAATAGAATCATAGAATCCCTACAGTGTGGAAACAGGCCCTTCGGCCCAACAAGTCCACACCAACCCTCGGAGCATCCCACCCCAGACCCATCCCCCTATAACCCACCTAATCTACACATCCCTGAACACTGTGGGCAATTTAGTATGGCCAATCCACCTAGCTTGCACATCTTTGGACTGTGGGAGGAAACCCACGCAGACACGGGGAGAATGTGCAAACTCCACACAGTCACCCGAGGGTAGAATCGAACCCGGGTCCCTGGTGCTGTGAGGCAGCAGTGCTAACCATTGAGCCACCGTGCTGCCCCAAAATTATCTAACCCATCCAAATTTTCCATATAAACAGAAATAAATCAAATGGATCTTCTCTGAATTGCTTCTAGTGCAATTATATCCAGTCCTAAATAAGAAGACTGTATACAATATTCTAGATATATGGTTTCTTCAATGCCCTGAAAATTATTGCAAAACATACCTTCTTTGATATTCCATTCTCCTCATAATGCTCCAGTTGAGGTTAAAACAGTATTTCAAAATGTTCACCACAAACTTCTTTCCTGTTGTCTTCTATGCCTCAATTTATAAAGTCCAATAATCTGTACACCACTTTTTCAACCTGCCATACCACTTTCAATGATTTGTGCACATATATCTCCAGTCCTTGTGCTCCTGTAGCCCCCTCCAAACTGCAACCTTTAGTTTATACTGCCCTTCCTCAATCTTCCCAGCAAAATATGTCATTCCATAGCTCCTTATTTCTGTGCTCCTCCAACTCTGGCCTCTTCTCCCTATTTCTATGCTCCTCGAATTCTGGCTACCTAGACTCTAAACACTGAAATTCCCTCTTTAAAACTATTTTCCCCTCCTCCCAGTAATCATCATGATCAGTGAGGTCAGTAAAAGATAGATATACTGTTTTTAATTGATGTCTGAGTCAAGACACAGCAGTTGCACAGTCGGAACCAAAAATACCTTGAAATCGTCACTGCAAAACTGGCTCCTGGTTTGCCAGAGCACTGTTTTATTCCATTCAACTGAGAAATCAGCCAACATAATCTACAAGCAACAGAACAATGGCTGCCAACAGCCTCTACTGTAAAGTAGATCTTAACATAAAAATAAAGCAGAGATAACAAGGTGTAGAGCTGGATGAACACCGCAGGACAAGCAGCGTCAGAGGAGCAGGAAAGCTGACATTTCCTGAAGAAGAGGCTAGGCCCGAAACGTCAGCTTTCCTGCTCCTCTGACGCTGCTTGGCCTGCTGTGTTCATCCAGCTCTACACCTTGTTATCTAATATTCTCCAGCATCTGCAGTTCCTACTATCTCTTATAAAAATAAAGCACATCAATACAATATCTCCACTTAATCCCAGAATTTAATTGTAGTTTTGGACTGGCAAGATTCCAATCCTGATTGATGCTAATTCATCAAAGTCATTCCCCAGAAACAACACAGTATACAGATCCATTTACTTTTTGGTGACAATGGTCGATGCAATGACGCTCCTTCCAGCTGCAGCAGCATGCCGACAGAGCCCCTTTGCCCTCTCTCCAGGATCTCTCTGGCATTCGAACGCACACGAGGACCTGGCCGCGATGGGCGGGCACTGTAGCATGAGGGGTACAAGGTGGGATCAGGGGCTAATGGTCCCAAAAGGAAGTCTAGTTTTAAGCTATTCCCTTCTAGCCGACCCCGAGCTGCAGACAAAAACAGAAGACAAAAATAAGTAGGCGTGTCGCTCTGCATGTACAACTTGTAAATTGATCATTCAGCCATGAGGATCTTCATGCTGAATTGATCATATCAGCTTCCAAAATTGTCACTGAACAATTACAAGAAGTGAAAACTATCATTACCCTTTCCCCTCTTTACTAAGCTCAGTTTTGCAGGCGTAGAACAACATTAGGTAAATTTGACTCTCATCACGGAGGAGAAATAGGAACTAATTTTCCAATGTCAAATCACAAAGTGCCTAATATTTGCTCCAAGATTGTCAAATTCTCAGTTAAACAATTGGTTGATTCATCACATTTCAAGATATCCTGCAAGATTATTGAGCGTGTTAAGTGTTATCACAAAGCTCCTGAGATCACTCACCGTACAACAAACCATGGTCAGGATAATTAATGATAAAACAATTATCACCTTTTCCCAGTCATCCTGTGAGATCAATTTTAGGAATAACTCAAAACAAAGGCACAAATCAGAATCAAATAAATATCATATCTGCTATTAATCAGGTACCGTGAAATATTCAATATTAGGCTAATAATTACGGAATATGAATATTCACTCACCCAATTACTTGCACCTAGTTCTCGACTGAATTTCATCCTAGTATTAATAGGATGTCCAATTATTATAAATATAACAAGACTTAAAACTTTCAGTTAGATTCCAACTTGTTATTTTCCCAAGTTTCTAGGAGTGTACTGCATCTGCACAACAACTCTGCTTGAGAAGTAACAAGGTAAAGACATTTTTCTTCATTTTGTTCTTTCAGACTTCCTTAATCCACGCACAGATTTCCAGTGCACAGAATGGGCAAAAGGGCAAGGATCATTGCATGCAGAAATACTTCTTTCAACTTTGTTTCCTCCCAGGTGAGAATAGGAAATTCAACCAACAACGTAAAAGGAAGATGGAAGCACTTCACTGGAAAACAGGTAAAGCCTCACCTGACAGCGGACGCTTGTAGAAATCTGGGAATAGTGTTGGGTCTGGTGGAATGGGACCAGATATCTTGGAGGGACCCTCGGACATCTTGGTTACCTAGCAATACAGAAACAGAGCTATGTCAAAATAGTTTAATTGAAAAAGAAGAAAAGGAGGAACATAGGAATAGGAGGCGGCCACTCAGTCCCTCAAGCCTGTTCTACCATTTAATTAGATTATGTCTGAACTGTGCCTCAATTCATTTTCCTGTTTGTTTCCTGACACTCAAAAACCTTGGCTTACAAAAGAAAATTCCAATTTCTGTGTTGAAAATATCGATTGATCTCCAGGGTTACCTTTTAGAAGAAAGAATTGAAGATTTATTCAACACTTCATACAAAACCATATATCCTGATTTCCTGTCTAAATGCTATAATTTTAAGATCATGCCTTTTTGGGTCCCCAGCAGACATAATAGATTCCCTGTAGCAATGTTATTGGATCTACCAGCTTGTTACTAATATAAATTCAACAAGAGATTCAAGAAAAACATTTATACTCAGAAAAGTGAAATTTGAGATCACATGAAATGATTAAGGTGAATAGGACAGATATATTTCAGAGAAAGACAGATACATGTATGAGGGAGAAAGGAATAGGAAGTCACACTGATAGGATGACAGGTGGGAGGAAGGGCATTTGGAGTAGAAACATCAATGTGAGCCTGAAAAAAAAAACTTCACTGTAAATTCTAGGTAACTCCACATAGCTTAAATCTCACCTGAGGCACAGGGCCCAAAATTGAATACAATACTTTGAGTGAACTCTTTACAACTAAAGGATCTGTTCCTCACTACGCTAACTTTAGATAAAGATTTCATTAATCTTGTTGGATTACTTCTAAAACCTGTTGACTAGTTTTGATCTGTGCACATGAACATCACACTCAAATTCCTTTGATTCTCCTTAACTCTTAATCTTTGAGTAAGTTGCCTTTTTTGATTTGTCTCTGGATCTACAGCATCAGCTAACACACCTAATTTGCCTTTAGTTTTAAGTTTTCTCTCTCATTCCCTTCCTGAATAGCAGAGTCATATTTGCTACTCCCCAATCCACAGGGCCAGTGCTAAAATCTAATAATACTGGAAAATCAAAACCAACACTTCTAATAATTTTGCAGCTCCTCTTTTTAAACCCTATGATGTCTTTACTATTTTAAACTAATTTAGTTCCTTACTCTCATTAAACCTTAGGTTTCCAAATATTTTGATTATTCCTCTTATGGCATCCATTATGAAGTCAGGTACAGAAAATATTTCAACATTTTGTTAATTTCATTGTAATTTCTCCTGTCTTTGACGTCAATTTTACTTCCACTGATCTCTTATAGCATTCTTAGAAAAGCTTTTACAAGCTTTCTCCCATTCTATTTTCATCCTCTACCACATTTTTGGTCAGGTTTTCCTGATTTTTAAAATCCTCTGGTTCATGCCATCCTTTTTGGTAACATTGCAAGCTGCTTCTTTGAATCTAATACAGCACTATATTAACTTCATTACTGTGCCATAAATGGGAGCGTTTTCCAGTGGTGTTTTATTCCTTGAAGGACTGTACATTCATTGGGAGGAAATTCTTCTTACACATTGCCATTGCTTATGCATTAATATATTTTTTATGTAATTTCCCAATCTACTTTAAACAACAAACCTATTTACAAAAGTGACTTTGCTTAATCCAAAGGCCTAGATAATCTGCACCACACTGAAATTTATTGTGATTTGATCATATCATTCCTCCTCAGAAAACCCTTACAGGACAGTGGTTGTCAAAGTATGGCTCCCAGACCACTGGTTGTCCACAAGGATCTTTCATCCACCAACTAGTTGAAAATGCAACACAATGGCTGGGGTCACACAAGGCAACAGGCTAAACTTTCATCTCCATCACTCATGTGACATCAGGCAACCAGACCACTCCCATGTACATAACACAAAACGTCACAAGTGCATGCAACAGCTAGTTTTATAAGAACAATTTATGTCACCAAGAAATTGGATTTTCAACATTTGTGGGGCTAAATGATAAGAGGAATAGCTGTATGAGGGCCAAATACAGCTATCTAGCATAGTCCTGCATGTCTACTCATTGGCATCTCATCAGAAGCAGTTTAATTCTTCCCATTAATTCTAACGAGTGTTTTTGCGGTGGGAAACACAGTGGTTGGGGTAGAACCGATGGGTAGTTCAAAGGGTCATTTGCCCCTCATAAGGAGCCTTGGACAACACAGTTCAAGAACCCACTCTTCTAACCCTGTTTGATTGCTGGGTCTAAAAACCTGTTCCCATCTTGGTTCCTTGCGAGAATCAGTGCTGGAGTTATTGGGCTGGAAAACACTTTTGCAGTGTTGGGCAGAGCCTACCATTGTCAGAATCCAGTGTATCACTAGGGAGACAAGTTGCAATCAGCAGTAGTCTGGTTAGGACTCCTGTTTGCTTGGGGAGGAACGGAAGACAGGCTGGAATCAGTAAGGGGCCTCCAATGTAAGCCCTAAAGGATTCACAATCAGGACCACCCCAGCTGGGAATACAACCAAAAAGCGCAACAGCCACTAACTCACCTTCTTCCAACTTTCCAACCGTCCCCGGGCATGCGTACGCCACTTTGAAGACACGCAAACGCAACGTCATTGCGTCACCTCCGTCACCACGGCAACCGCGTCCTTCACGTGGTCCCGCCATAAATCATGCTCTGTAATATTGGCTACTTCTGCCTTTGACTGTCAAAATGCATGACATATTCATTGAGTTTCTACGTGATAATCGGGATCTTATACCGAATCTCACTGTGAATATTAGCATATAGTATTCGGTTTCAGTGTCAACATCAGGGTGTTATATCAAGCTTCACTGTGAATATCAGCCTATAGTATTATCGGGATAATTAATACTCATGGAGTCTCACCGTGAGTGACAGGGAAATGCTCACTGTGTATCAGACACTTCTTTAGTTTCACCTCACGATATTCCTTTATCCCTCACGTTCTCCAAAGGCAGACACTTTCTTTACCCTAGAGACCGAGGAAAAAGGCATTTTCGGCAGGCTTTTAAAATGCAGAATACTCCCAAGCCCAATCATTCATTTCCCATCACACTCAGAAGTTATATTCATCATTAAGGCTAAGTAAGACTAGTTGTCTAGGCGCTATACAATAGATTGTAAGGTCAGGTAGTCATTCATAATATTATTGAATGATCGTGAGTTAAGATAATGCTAAGGCAGGCTGTGCATCGTCCATGGATTAACCGTTTTTTAACCACATAATTTATTTTACCAGTTGATGTATCTCTCCTGTTCACTTCCCCACCACTGTCCCCACTTGGATCCTTTTACTGTGAAGCATGTCACACAGAGACATCGTTTACAAAAGGTCGCTTCAGACTTAGACAGAGTAGGAGACACGCTGTTCATTCATTATGTTCTTCTCCATTTTGAGTTGATACGTTAGCAGCTCCTCATTGTCATGTCAAACACTCAGACAGATTAGCAGATGACAGACTGCACACAGAAATAGAATTAATATTCTGAAAGTCTTTATTTTTGTTTCCATTCCTCTTTAGGTGGTTAAAAACACTGTATATCTTTGGAACAATGTTTCAATGGGTGATTCTTGTACTTCTCCCAAACTGGGAATGGGAGCAGACAGAGGGCCAGATAGTAGTCACATGTGCACCTGGCTATGTGGCACAAGTTTGCCTTGGGTCCTGAATGGTAAGGAAAAACTGTTCAGAAATGGCCATCATAGAGTGGAATTCAACAATTTTTTTTTTAAACAAAAGAGGTTCTAGAAATAGCTAATTTTCTAAATAGCTATTTTTCCCCAGATCAGCAATGCCTTATGGGTAGGGTCATATTGAGAAGTTTCATGGTTCCAACACAGAAAAGGTAGTACATTATGTTATGATTACAATAAACATTATGTGAGACAAACTCACTCTTTACAGTTTCAGATCCATTGCAGTATTTTTTGTAATTAAACAATCCCAGGTTTTCTACAGAAAGATTACATCCACTACCTCTCCACAACTCTACCTCACTCTCCTCCTTTTAGGCACTCCTTAAAAACAAACTCTTTGGCAAATCTTTTGGTCCTCTAATCTAATTTCACCTTGTGTGATTTGGTGACTCATTTTATTTAATAATACTTCTGTCAGATACATTGAGACATATCATTACATTAATGGTGCTATATAAATATGTTGTTTGCATTTCTATAATAGCAGTCCAAACATGATCAACAAGAAACCCATTCCTCCACCCTTTCAAATAAACTGTTGAATCAAAGACCCTCTGCGCAAAATATTAATGAGGCACTGACACTCCCTGTGCCACAGTACTGAAGGGCATTATTCATGAAGCCCTGCATTGCCAGAGATGCAATGAGAGCATACTGTACTGCTAGAGATTTAGTACTGAGGGAGCACTGTCAGAGTACTATCAGTTTTGATAAAATGTTATACTGCCATAAGTGCAGGATTACCAAATGTGCCAACATTCGGATGAGATATTCAACCAAGGCACCATTACCCCCTCAGGGAAAGATCCCATGTGAAAGATCTCATGGTACTATTTTGAGGGAAATCAGGGAGTTCTCCCTAGTGACAGTCCAATATTTATCCGTCAACTAATAGCCAACCTGTTCAGTTATCGGATTGTTGTTTGTAAGAGGTTGCTGTGCACAAATTGGCCAACATATTTCCCAACACTATAACGGTGACTACAATTCAAAAATTAGCTGTGAACTGCTTTAAGGCTTCCTGAAGTTTTGAAAGATTGTAAAGAAATGGAAGTCTTTCTTTCTTTCCTCAGAATAGACATTTTCCTTCCAGGGGAGGTACAATATATGCTGTAGATTGCCCTCTTCCCCTGGTAACCCTAACGTTAGGTGTCATTCACTTAAAGAATTTGTAAGTGCCTAGCATCTTGCTTTATTTATGGCCCTACACTTCCCCTTGTCAGTGTTCTGAACATACATAAATCTCTGTCAGTTAAACTTACTTGAAGGACACTCCACGATCCCATCAATGCAGCTCCATCTGTAATGGATCATTGGATTGCAACCTTCTCCTACTCGTGTCTTGTAGCAGCACTGATGCTGAAGGCAGCACCTTGGAACAGAGAGGTAGTAACACTAATTCAGAAGATGCATTCACATTAGAGGAATGATGAGTTTAACTTGGGCATCAATGAATCAGAACATTACAGACAGAAATTTACAATGATGAAGGAGAATGATAGTCAGAATTCATACAACACTGTAATGGGTATAAAAGATCCATGATGAGACACTCCATTGCCAAACTGCTTTTTACTTTACTAATCAAACAACGGCAGACCTTCATACACTTGGTTGAAAGGGTGAAAACGTTATTTAAATCACAGTACTTTTCCCACCATTCTCCTTCAACTCTATATCCATGGCTGGCTAAATGTGTGGGACTGATTGCAGCACCATGACTGTATCGTTCTGTAATTGCAGAGAATATTACTACATAAGGATGCTAACAACAGAAGTAAAGCAGGCCTTTTACTCATCAGTAAGCCTACAAAACTTCAAACTTTCCTGCCACTATTAAAATCTGCAGGCCTTCAAAATTAACACTGAATTATTCCTAATCCATTACCACATGATTTACTCAATCATTTCTCTAATCTCTCCAAAATTTTCTCCAGTGCCTTTTATCAAGGGTATTCAATTTTTTTTAGAAAAGCAATTTTTTTCTTATTTCTAAACATACTTGACTTTTATTTGCATTTTAATTTATATCCATAATCCTTTTTGCTGTTTTGTGAGATTTCAAGTATCCAGGTGTCAGAATGATCTTAATTCTGAGCCTGTCAGGTACTTGGAACCATTCTTAATTTAACAGGCTTCTCCGAAATTTTCAAATGTCATTTCATGGGATGTTGGCATTGTTAGTAAAGCTCGTATTGTTGATCATCCCCTAGTGCCCTTGAACTGAAGAGCTTGCAAGGCTATTGGGGTAGTTAAAAGTCAGCATGTTTAGAATTTATGTGAAACAAATCAGGTAAGGATAGCAGATTTCTCTTCATAAAGGATATGGGTGAACTAGCTGTGGGGTTTGAACCAATGCCTTTGACTGTAACATGGGACATTACCACTACACTGCCATCTCCCTTTCACATTCGGCTGAGGTTTTTGTTCTATTTTGCCTTTCTATCAGATTGCATGGCTGCATGTAACTGGGAATGGTGCAATGTTCTGCAGACGTTGAACTGTGCCAGGATAAGGCAGGTTCAATAGGTTAGCTTGTATTCTTCTGTCCTTTTTCATATGTTTAAAATTTATTCTAGTGGCTCAATGTTATTGTCTGAATAGGGGGAACATAGCTTTAAACCCTAGCGAACTAGATTTAAACATACAATCCAGTTGGTCCCTTGGTGTAGTGTGAAAGGGGACTGCGTTGTTGGATTTTCAGTTAGATACAAAAGATCCTCAAGCACTATTCAAAGAAAAATTAATCAAGGGCTTTCTTCTGGGTAACACCATCAGAACCACTTGATAAGTCATTTGTCACATTCCTGTCTGTGGGATGTTGCTGTGTGCAGTGCTGTTTGACTGAATCGAAAAGCAAATTCTTTGTGAAGCACTCCGAGACATCTCGAGGATGTGAAAGCTGCATCATGATCACTTTTTCATCCTCACTGCCAGGAACTGCAGTACCTACCAATCAATAAAGTCCACCGGCTTTCCAATCACAATCCGCCTCTTCTTGCGGGTGCAGTGACAACCATAAGGAACAAAGTCAAATTTAAAATTGTCACGACCTAAACATCGCAGCATGTGTGAAATGCTTCTCATTCTTCCAGCATAATCATCAGTGCCACCTACACACAAATGGAGAAGAGACTGAGCAACAGTTGAGGAGGGTGTCTTACCATCAAGACAATCCAATTAACAGGGAGGACTTTCATTGGGACTGTTCTTAAAGAGGACTTCTACAATTTGAATTCCGTGAAAAAAGGCTCATCACTTTCAGGATCTTTTTATAAGGGATAAATGTCCTCATCCAGATATATTTTAAAGAGGATTTTTCATTACCAGGATCCCCTTTTCAAAGAAGCAGGTCTCCTCCCGAAGCCCCAGAGCTAAAGCCCTGTCCGGGGATGTTTGAAACACTTCTTGTAACAAAGAGCCTGGGACTCCCAGCTCCTGTTCTTAACTGGGTGTCTAACACTCACCACTGAGAGATAAAGAGGAAAGAAACAGGACACAAGATGTCAGTAGCTGTTCCATGGAGCTTCAACCCATCACCGTCATGGCATCCCAGGCCATAGCAACATGGCATGAGAGAGAATGTTAGCCCATAGCGACAGACCATGGAAATTCTCGTCCAAAGCAGCAGAACACGAGAACCCTGAGCCATAGGAACAAAGCATCCACATTCCATGTCCACAGCAACAGAGCAGGAACATCACAGCTCATAGCAACAGAGTACAACCGCCTTCAATGTGCTGTGAACAGTTTGAAGCAAAGTGGCTTGCAGTCTTAAATTTGAACTGCCATTGCTACTACCAATGGGGAATTTGGAGATTTAAATTCTAACTCAGGGTGAAGGGAAGCTGTGTGTTCTATATGAAAGATGCACTGCAGGAATTTAACAAGGCTCCTCAGACAAAACCTTCCAAACCCATGATCGCA